GTTTTTGATCAGCTGTTTCCCTGTTGGCAAATTGCTGTTGGCAAAAAATTTTTCCAACAGAAACTAACAGCTTCCCCTCAAAATGAAATGTCACTTTGCTCTCTCAATTTCCCCTACTTTGCAAGTTTTTTGCGTACGCGAACGCAAAAACCTGTAAGTTTTGGTTAAACATGAACAATTAACAGCTACGCGAACGAACCTATTAAGGGTTTCAATTTAATTTTTTTTTTTTTTGCATGAAACTAGTTTGCAATCATGGTGAAATTATATACAGGTGAAGTAATAAAACCGCTTCCACACTTCTTTAAGATATTCATTTAGGTAAATATCAAATATGTAAGTTTTATATATAGGCCTTCCAAAGACCTTTTTGAGAGTCAAGAGGCTTTCCACTCTGCAAGTAAATTAAATTCTCTACTTTCTCGAAGTTATAACTGTCAACAGTGACGTGGGTTCCAAAGCGCGAATGTGCCAAATGTTTGTTTGATAACAGGAGACACTTAGTCTTGTCCTCGTTTAACTCCACACCCATTCGCTTTGCTTACTTACCCAACTTCGAAAAGGCAGAACAGACTTCACGGTTCTTGTTACCGATGATGTCGATGTCATCGGCATATGCCATCAATTTGCCCGAGCGGTTCAGTTCTGCGACTCTTACCATCTTCTCCAACATCAGATTAAAGAAATCCTATGAAAGGTAGTCTCATCTTGTCTGAAACGTATTAAACGGCTCCGAAAGGTATTTTCCAATTCTGACGGAGCTGGTGGTATTGCTCAACAGCCGTATCAGTTTTGCGCCGATTCCAAATTCAGACATCGCGGCGTATAGGCAACTCCTTTTAGTGCTGTCGAAAGCGGCTTTAAAGTCAACAAACAGGTGGTGAGTGTCGATCCTTTTCTCGCGGATCTTTTCCAAGATTTGGCGTACTGTGAATACGTGGTCTATGGTGGATTTGCCAAAGTCTAAAGCTACACAGATAAGGCCCAAGCAGTTTGTTTGATAGTGGGCTTTAGTCTTTCACACAATACAGTCAATAAGACCTTGTAACCTATGCTAACGCGCGATAATTGGCGCGAAGGGCGGAGTCGCCTTTCTTGTGGATTGGGCAGAGCACATCTAAATTCCAATCGTCGGACATGCGTTTATCTGACCATATTCTACACAGGAGTTGATGCATGCCCCTTATCAGCTCCTGGCTGCCGTACTTGAATAGCTCAGCTGGCAGATTGTCAGTTCCAGCAGTTTTGTGGTTTTTCAGCCGCATAATTGGGATTCGTACCTCGTCATAGTCAAGCGGTGAAACATCGACTGGGGGCTCGGATTCGTCTTCTCCACAACTTTCCGTGCTGGTACCATTCAATGGGGTGTTGTCTTGAAACCTTCCATAAGTCGCCTAACTCACTAGTAAAATTTTCCGGCCTTTTTCTTACCCGCCAGCATTTTAAGCCCTTCGCGCTCGCTTATTTCGGCCCCTCTTCTTATTGCGGCAAATACGTTTCGATTCCCTCTTCAGTTCGCTATAACGTTCCCGTCCCACATGACTCGCGTTGCGCCCCATCGCAGCGTGGCCCAGTAGGCGGCATCTTTTTTCTCCGCAGCTTCTTGACACTCCTCATCGTGTCAGTTGTTCTTTCGGGCTCGCTGAAATCCGACTACTTCTTCGGCGGCGGTACTTAATGAACGAGAAATGTGGTTCCACTGCTCGCATATGTCGGTTGGCTGAAGTGTGCTCTCTAAGAACAGATGTGAGAGTCGAGTAGCGAATGCATTGGCTGTCTGTTGCAAGGCGGGTACTTATGTTGACTGCAACAAAGTAGTGAACCGTAAATAGACAAATCCCTTCTAGAATTCATGCAGACAATAACTTTTTTCAGCCCTTGGGTAGGCCTTTTACAAGGGCTTCTCTTAAGAAGACCTACGTAAATTATCTTCTGGGGAATTCTAGAATGCAAAGAAGTTCCATAATCTATAAGAGTTTGTCATGTCATTAAACGGACTTTTAATAAATCGACCTGCCTGCAGAAGCGTTCTAAGACACTTACTTTCTCCATTTGTTCCAGTAGAATAAATATCCAACTGACATAAAAGTGTAAATACATAATCCTAAAGAATAAAGTTTCATTTCGAGGCTAACAGGTAATCAGTTTGGACAAAGAAAGTTTTTACACAAGGGGTATTCACCAAATTGAGCAAGATTAGTTGTTGTCAACATAAGCTAATTTGCTCTTTTGGCAGAGTGCTCGATTTGGTGAATACCCATAAAAATTCATGCGGATAAGTTAGCTACTTATGTATGTATAATTCGCAAAAAATACAAAATCATTACGTTTACCATTTTACCATTGAACGGACAAGACTTCATCCGCCTTCAAACTTTATATATTTATGTATGTAGTTAGTAATTATGCAATTCATTGATTATGGGAACTACTTATTTTAATTAAGCTTTACGGCTTATGGTATACATACCTACATACATATATACGATTGTGTGACTTACGGGCTCACAATCAACCAAACTTGAAACTGGATTTAACTTAGCGTAATGCCAAAATGTTTGTTTTGTATAATCTAAAACTAGTGTGAATGGCAAGATTCTTGATTGGGCGCTTATGTAGAATTTGCTTAACATTCGAAGAACTACTATAGTATGTATGTATGTACATGCTTTTACAAATATACATACCCTGCAAACCATTTTTTCAGAGTATTCTGCATTGTAAAGAAGTTCTAAAGAATTCGTTAAGATTTAATTCGATTTTTTGCCGGATTTTTTAAAATGAAATAAATTACGCACACTTCCATTCTTTTACGAAATTTCGGAAGAAAATTTTGCCCTTTACTTTTACCTTGAGTCGAAAGTATTTTTGCAGGGTTCACTTTTTACATTTTTCGTCATATGTATCTGCAGCATTTACAGTCGGATCTTAAAGTATGACATATCGTGATTCTTGTCTCGGGGAGAATTTTATTTTTTTTTGTTCGAAAGTTTATTGACCTCTAGTACCCACTTTTTATCACCCCAACGTACCACCCGAATGTCAATAAATTAAAGCTCACCAAAAATCATTTAACTTTTCTAAGAAGGTATTTTAACTATTGCCGAATGTAGGCATCACCCAGGCCAAAACAAATTTTCGGAAATGCCTTACAAAAATACTGAAATGCTGAGGGGTCTACTGCGAGGTTCCTTTTGGTTGCTTGTAAAGTGGTATGCATATCTAATGTACATACATATACATACTGTTACTCCCAAAATTGAGCGTACGGCTCTTTTTTTATTTTGTTTTAAAATATGGCTTATGTTTTAGAAAATCCCA